TAGATATTTGAAGTAATCATCGTTCACTCCAGAACGTAAGACTCAGCGCGCACCACAAGTGCGATATCCTCATGCTTATCCACAGCAGTCTTTTCACATAGTACATCATCCTGTCCCCATTTCTGCACTTCTCCTAAAATATTCTATATCTCATTAGGAAGAATAATAGATTTGTTAGTGCACAAGCCAATCAACAGACGGGACTGTACATACCTGACCCGAAGATGACAAAGACTATACCAGCAACTGTATTTACCAAAGCGATCAAAGCGAATAAGATTTGCCATTCGAATAATGTGCCCTTAAGAAAAAAGTAAATTCCATTCAGCTTTAAAGAGTAGTTTGTAGTTATTGCATTCTTCGGTTGAGAAAGACGCGAATTTCCAAGTTCTACAAGAGCAAAAGCTAAGGTATTTAATACCGCTCATAAATTTTGCAACAAATGTGGTCTCACATAACAGTCCATTGCAAGCGTGGCATCGTCATAACTTCTTTAATAGATTCTCTTAAAAGGAAAAGCGGTTTTAGACTCACCTTATTAAGTCGAATCTTAAGCTCACAGGTTAGAAACATGGAGCCACGGCTCTGGTCACCTTCACTAATGAACGAAGAAAGAATACGACCCTCACTTAATAGAGTTTGGTTAAGTCAAGGCCCGAGGCGCAGGCCCGGCCATCGACTTTTCTACACCTAGAAGTTTGAAGATCGAGAACTATAAGATCAATAATTTTCTTATTGTTGACGAAATAAGATTAAGATGTCATAGTACACTAGAACTATAACAATGAGGAGGAGTTCCATGAAAAACGAAAAGGTGTAGTTTTGAAGGTAGAAGTTGAAGTTGAAAAATCAGCAAAGTGTGAGGAGTAAGTGCTGAATTCGCCCTATAACTATTTCTTTCAGAACAGTTGATGTGTCTGAGAACTACGAAAGGCATGCATCATTAGAAGTAATAGTTATTGTACTCTAGAAGCATGCACGTCAATTAGCCTTAAGTAGGGAAAGTCAAGAGAATATAGAAAATAAGTTGTTATGATGGAATTATGAAAGTTGAGTTGTCAGCTGGATTCTCCATATGATCCGAGCAGAATGATATATGAATGTTGGAGGTTTCGTTGAGTTAAGAGTCGAGATAAGCCACCAGAGCCAAATGCCCCACCGGCTCTGGTCATTCTCTGCCGCCTCCCAAATTGCACAGTCTCTACGCAACCAAGCGTCTTCCACGGGGCATTTGGCTCTGGTTCCCTTTTCTTCGTTATTTGCAAATTAATGTAAGCTAATCGTAC